ATGAATCAACTAGATTCCAAACCTTGTTGGAGTATATGAAATCCATCTCAGAATTCATAGCTTCTTGCCACTTCCCAGAGTCTATACTTATAATAGCCTCCTCATAGGTCTGAGGATCAATATCCTCAACATCCTCTCCTACAATATGTCCCACATATCTCTCAGGACGATGGAATACTCTGTCAGACCTACATAAAGTCAAAACTTGTGTGGTAGGTACCTGAACAGACTAGGACTATGGAGTGGTGCTTGAGCTAGGTTCTCCAACCTCACTCAACTCTATTACGCTCCCACTGTCTCCGCCAAGAATGTGTTCTTTCTCAAGGAACACCGCTCTCTTGGCTACAAAGACCTTTTGGTCCTCGAAATGATAAAAATAATACCCACAATTTTCCTTAGGGTGTCCTACAAACTTGCACCACTCCGTCCTCGATTCCAGCTTATCGGGGTTATGTCTTTTAACATGGGCAAGGTAGCCCCTAATCTTAAGATCGGATTTTTTCTCATTCCATTTAATGTTCACTTTTTGCATTGTATGATGATAACAGGAAGAAGACGAGGATGATGCAGAAGATGGCGATTCAAAGTATGATTCAGATGTAGAAGATGAAAAGGAGACTCCTCATGTAATACTCTTTTAACTTTCTTCACTCTGATGCCTTCTGTTTCTCTAAATTAGTACCAGTTATATTGTGCAAGTGTCATTGTCGCATCTATATTGTTCTATCCCTGCCACTTGATCTATTCCCTCGATGGTTTCAGGATTAGCTCTAGAGGAAATCGAGAGAGTTTTCAACTATTTTCACAGACGAGTTAATTGGGTAGTATTCAAAATTGCAGTCACCTTGAGAACCATTTCATTTCATGGAGAGAACAACTTGAGCGAAGAGCATTGTTGCATAAACTGTGCGTGTCCTTAAACCTGAACTTTTAGAAGCATTTAGTCCATTTTCCTGATGCAATGAATGGTGTTAAAATGGACTAACGACATCTTTTATTCTTGTCATGTCACCTTTTTTTTTTGTTTTGTTCTTTCCTTTCGTGGTTTCAAGTACCATATCAAGCCGGAGATGTTTTCAATTGTAGGTTTGAATTGCAACGACGTGTACTGCTCGGAAATACAATACACATAGTTCAAAACCAATCTTTCGCACAAACAACCTAGCTCTGATACCACTATTGGGAAATCATATGGGGCATCACATGCGCAGCGGAAGAACATAAAAATAAAATCCCCAAATTTCCCATATGTGTGTTTGTCATCATGCGAAGATTAGTGCATAAAATTCGTAAAACTTAAAACTATGCGTATATTAAATATTATGTTACCTATGAAGATCGTATATCCCTGAATCATTGCAGATCTCTAGGAGAGGGTGAAGGAGGTGAAGCACCCTCCTCTCTAGTGGTGATCCACATAGTAGGGCCGCGATGATGCTCCTCAAAACTCCAAGCCTGCTATTTGAGAAGGATAAGGGGAGGAGAATATGAGATATTAACCCAAAGAGGCTCTAGCTAATGAATCATTGGTTCCCTCCTATTTATAGAGGTCCCCTGTCAACTTAACCCTAATGGATCCTGCCCTATTGGGTATTGGATCTCCATCCAACTACTCAAGCCTCTTAGATCAATGGATCTCTATCTAATAATCTCTCATTGACTCTTATTGGATCTCATCCATAGGATCCAATAATTCAAAGGTTTATTGGATATCTAATAAGATAGGGGCTCCGGCATATATCTCATATCCGAACCTCCACAACTCCTATAATATGTGTGTGACCCTCTAGGCTCAATATCGAGCTGGCCGTGAGTCATACATATAAGAACTCTTTCCGGCTCAATGAATTATTATTTTCAAAATAATTTACTCGACTCATCGATTGCGGACATACTAGGCCACTACGTCGCAGTCCCAGACGACACAATGGAATCCAATTTATTGGACTTGTTTGTCCTCAGTTACCGTATACTTATAGTCCCTCGTCCATCTAATATCCAAGAGACCATATACCGGGCATGGTGTTGTCATGCCCATATAGTTTCTACTTGAGTCTCACTCTAATCGGATTCTCCCGGAGAACTCTTTCTCTCTCAATTCGAATGACGGTGGCTAGGGATTTATCTGAGCAAGAACACATGGGATACTTCTCTCATGACACCAAGAGCGGATAATTCTTTATCGACCCTCAATAGCCCTCGTAAGATTGACTGCCACTCCTAATGACTGGTTGTGCTAGATTTGGAATATCCAAATCTATAAATCTAATATAAAAAAAGTGGAGCATTTATATAGGATATCCTTAGTGTTCCAAGTCTAAAGACTAGATACACCACTAGGACTACGGAATCGTTATCTGACAATAAGGTATTATCAGCCATCCAGCATTCTATAAGTGGATCAATCAGTGAATTCATTCTTCAATGAGCACCTATATTGTATCCCTAGTGTCTCTACACGAGCAACTATGAGACTAACTGTATCGATCATATGGATGAGTATACAGGACACTAGTCTATCCGATTATATCGATGTCCCTCTCGAGTAATCTATGTCCCTCTCATTATCGTGATCTCATCACAATTCGATTCTTATTGCATAGAGCCATGGATATCATAATATATTCAAGCAATAGGCAATATAAAGTGATAAAATATCAAATAATAATAATAAGTAAAAAGATTGCATATCAAGTCACATGTGTCATCACTCACATGATTGGCTTGTAGGGTATACCTATGACTAGCAGCAAGTTCACCAACCCTTATTCTTACCTATGGAGATCTTAATAGCTTCCAAAGAGGCCTTTAATAGTAGTAAAATAAAGAAGAAAATATTCAAAAGCAACAATTAGAAACCCTAGACTACCCTATCTTTCTAGTCTTTGCTTAGAGTAAGAGAAGAGAAAGAGAAAAGAAAAGAGAGAAGGAATTTTGCTACAAGTTATAAACTTCCAATCATAGTCCCTTATTTCTTGAGTTTTAATAGCCAAATTCTCTATCCAATCATAGTCTTAAAGTCTTCGTAAATATTATGAGGATGTTTCAACAATGAGAAAGGAGACTGAAACTGACAGTGAACCTCAACCTATCGAGGGCATCTATAACTTATATTCTCACGCATCTATAATTCTTTTATCATGTTTTATTATATTGTTTGGCACTTGTAGTTAGCACTTTAATCTTATGAGAAATAAATGTTATTTTCCTTTCTATTTTATGCTTGTTTTAGCGATCTTTCTCCTCCATCGAATTTTCATCTGGAAGCTAGTATTGAATTGGTAGATCATCGAATTCGAACCCCATACGGATCATTTCTCTTGACCAATGAATAACTATTGGCTTTGGAAGCCAAATGAGAAGGGTATGATCTTTTGTAAGTTTGCATACTAGTATTTTCATTGCCAAATGAGAAACGGCAGGAGGATCGATAGTGTAGACTATGAATGAAGGCTTTGGGTATTACTTAGGGTGAGGGTAATTAGTTATAATTTTTTGAATTACCGTCTCCTAATAGCCGATAAAGTTATCTGCTTGGGTGTGTGTAATACTGCCGTATATCCTTTGTATGGTTAGGTATCTAAGTCTATTTGGCATATATTTTTCTATGTGATTTTGCTTTTCATTTTGGCATTTGTTTGAGCAGAAACTTGAGATACAATATCTGCATTTTGATTAGTGACAAGTTGGGGATCATGTAAACGAGGGAGGATAGTTGATGGACAAGGCTGGTTTGATTTTTAGTGTTGTTATTGCTACTCAATTATGATTGCTATGGAGAGCTCGAAATGAGACTTATTTTTAAATAGAGTAAGATATATGTTTTTAATATCTTTCATAAGGTAATTGCATTGGTGTTAGCTAGTGACAATGTCAAACGACGTGATGGCGTTAATCAAGGAATTGTCCTCTAGCAGATTAGACAGATTAGGTAGGGTGCATCATCTTGTGGTGATTGGGTAAAGCTCAATCCTAATGGTTCATTTGCAGGAGAGTGGGTAGGTTTTATCTTACGTAGTGGTTGATACTAGTAACGCTCAATCCTAATGGGTAAAGCTCAATCCTAATGGTTCATTTGCAGGAGAGTGGGTAGGTTTTATCTTACGTAGTGGTTGATACTAGTAACGCTCAATCCTAATGGGTAAAGCTCAATCCTAATGGTTCATTTGCAGGAGAGTGGGTAGGTTTTATCTTACGTAAAGCTCAATCCTAGGTTTTATCTTTACGTAGTGGTTGATACTAGTATCAAAAATAGGGTTGATACTAGTAACCCTATTTTTGATAGATACAGGCCTCTCTCTCTCTCTCTCTCTGTTTTGTGAAGTTGTTGTGGCTGAAGACTTCAAATTTATCCATGTTGAATTGAACTCTAAAAGTCATTGTCGTAAGGAGGAGGACATAAGGAGTCTACTTGTAAATTTTGAAGCACATCAACTCTCACATGAATGTATATATAGAGCAGTTAATTAATGATCAATTTATCCCATAAGATCGAATGGAATATGAATGAATATCCACAAAACAAATGAAATTAGTATTTGTGCTATCCTGACCACCATTTTGGCCCTCGAATGTTTCTACTCGTTTCTGTCTGTTCGTGGTCGAGTTGGACTCCACAATAATAATACAAGCGTAACGTTTCGTTGTGGGGGAAATGGATGAACGGAGGGATCCCCACTCCAATCTCCATCAAATCAAATGTAGATGATAGCACGAATGCCATGGTTGAGGAAGATAAAACTTGTAGATGAATCTCCCTCCTCAAGCAGGAAACTTATGACTGACTCCCTAAACGGGAATGCCGTTGCAATCCATCGAGGATTTATTGGAGATCGGTTTGTTAGCTGCTCCTCCATTAGACTCGGACTCATCCCTCAACTCTTTCCGCAGAAGCAGCACGTTAAAGAGGGCCCGATAGCATTATTTTCCGAGACCTTTCGGCTCTAATATATATCACACAAATTTTCTTTTTTGCTCTTACTTTTTTTTTTTTTCTTCTTCTTCTTTTTATTTAGCTTTTGCTCTTGTCTGGTGCACACCAGCCAGATTGATAACCAACCCCTGCTGTGCCCTTCTTCCAGAGTAAATTTCCCAACATAAGTTGCAGGTTTTCAGCGAAGGAGAGGAAGAAACGGGGGCCAGTGATGGCCACCATGAAGCTGGGTTCCAAGGCAGAAGCCTTCCAGCTTGAAGGCCAAACATGGTATGCTTCCCTTCCATCCCCAGCTGTTGAAAGAATTGTGGTTATTGCCTTCTCATTCGTCGTATTTTTGTTGCTTTTGTTCCGACAAGTGATTAAATATTTCTGTTTGAAAGCATATCAATCTTGAATTTTCTTCTATTTTTACAAGTCATATCTCCTGATATGCTGTTTTTTCTTTTTCTAATATATCATCACCAAAGAATCAGAAATCGAGCCATACTGTCATTGCGTTCATAGCTTGTGCAGGTCCATGCTTATATACAATGACAGCATGGTATCTGAATTGGGATTGGCACAGAGCTTTCGTTTGTACCAATATCATGATGATAAGATACAAGATCGTCATAGAGCTTTCTGTCAATTTATGCTGCATAAAGTAAATTATTGATTCATGTTAATCAATATATATTATACCGAAGAAGCTACCATTCTGCAAGTTTCAAAACCTGAGCTCCGGAAGCACAATTAAAATGGGTACTTTCAGAATACTGCCATATTAAATTCCACCAGAAAAATATAAGAAGCAACTATTATTATTATTATTATTATTATTAGAGTTAGATGCTCTACTGGTTAGTTTGGAAACCAACGAAATGTCTGAATTTTCTTCTTCTTGTTTGGCTTTCTTAAATTCTATAGGATTAAAAGGTGGCTTATTATGCTTCAATCCAGCTAGTGAAAAGGTCCGATGAACTGATCTAAAGCATTTTAGAAGATGGGGTTCGTATACACATCAAATGCTTTTATATTCCATCAGAAGTTAATTGCAAAGATAACGTTTGTTTCTAGGCAAATTGTAGTGCAGTTCTTGGATTCTCCTTTTCCAAGATAAATCAAGTGAATTTTATTCATTTATTTATTTCTTTCTTTCAGAGTTGTAAAAAAGGATGCATCATTTTATTGTCACATAACACTTGAGGAAAACACTTGTCTCGGAGAAAAAGAGAACATTCATGACCGAATGATTTACATGTCACACTGGATAATTCAAAAAAGCTAACAAGGTCATAAAGAATGAATGGTGCAGTTGCCCAAGGCAATCTATCAAATGAAGATGCCTTACATTTGTACAGTTTTCATCAGCTACATGTCCCATATTATTATTATTATTATAGCTTTTGAAGTAACTGAAAATGACTTTCCTTCAACTATCCCCAAAATTTACAGATTATCTGAGCCTAATGGATAAAATGAGTTTCCATTTATGAATAACAAGAGTCCTCCACTTCATTATGGAAAGGACAACGTGATCCTGTCTCACATTTTCTATTGCAACAAAGCACAAATATATCTGACTGCAGGCTCATGCAATATATAATAATATCATTCCTTTGCATGTTTGTCTATGTTGTTGCTAACAAGTAACCAAGTGTGTGTGCTTTCAAAGTTTTAAGTGCCAACACATACATGCGTGCTCAAAGAAATACTGGCCAGGAAAAAAAATTGTACACCATCTATAAATGCCTTTTGAAATGTAGCAAAGAGACCTTAAGGCTAAATTGATACAACTTTGAATATAGCTGAAAATAGATTTGATCTTCAACTTTTCTTCTCCGCAGGAGATGCTTAACGGAGCTTGCAAGTGATGTCGTCATTGAAGTAGGAGAGATGTCCTTCAATCTCCATAAGGCAGGTTTTTCCCTTCTGTCCTTCAGCTGGTGTCTAATGCCCTAAATATGTGTAGTTAAACATATTGTAAAGAACAAGATGTTCATTTT